CAAAGTATAATTAATATATAATGCATCAATAGTAGTTATCTTGNGTAATATATAATTCATCAATAGTAGTTATCTTGAACAAATCAATTAGATTTGTAGAATAGATAGAAACTGGGAGTTCAAGGGTTGATGGTAAATTAAGACGGATTTCTTTCAATTCATTAAGTAGGATATTAGAAGGAAGGATACTAGAATGTAATCGACCACTTAGAGCTGAGTTAACTATAGCAAGGAGGTTCTGAGTTTCCCAACTGTATTGGCTAAGTAGTATAGTTATGGTGGCTGTATGTTAAGCTAGAGTAGAAATGAATTCGACTAAATTGATTTTATCAGCATTCGTTTGACTTTGCGATAGTAGTTTCTGTATATTTCGGGACATATTTTGTTGTGTTTGATCTAGATGTAGTGAATTGTATGTGTGATGAACTACGGATTTCATAATGTGTATTTGTTCTTTGGATAGTCGTAGAATTTTTTCTTTATTTTCCTGAAGTTCGCTGATTTTAGTATAAAAATATTCAGCATCCTGTTTGGAACATATACCGAATAAAACATTTGCTATTCTACCAACGAAATTTGCTAGACCTCTGTTTTGTCGGGAGTAATGAGAACTGCTATTCCCCTTCAGATTTAACATAGATGAAAGAGTGATATGATTGAATTCTGTTTCATTTAAATAAGGTAATGTAATTTGAACAAATTGGGTACAGACTGTATCTATTTTTATATCTTTTGAATTTTCTAATGCATCCCGACAGTGACGCACGGTTTGATTGTAATAACCTAAGATTAAAGAATGACGTTGCTGGTAGTTCTTTAAACCCAGGTAGGAAATAAGTTGTCAGGTATTCTGGGAGATTCTGAGGGGACCATAGGATTCGTAATATTTTATTTTATTTTTTTAATTATTTTTGTATTTATCACTATTTTCTTTCAGCTCTTACTGGACTATTTTTTTTCAATGATACATCAAAAGATCATAAATAGTATCTTACTAAAGACATTACACTTATAAATGGAAAATTTTAACTTCGTTTTAATAGATATTAATATTAATAAATAAAATTATAGCTCCTATAAATTTTACTTATTTCATAAATAGTTTCCTATTAAACAATGTGGTGACAATTTGTTATCTTGACTTCATTATCGCAAGAAATCTGCAGTAAAAGGCTTAAGCTTCTTGGATTTATTTACAACACTTCCGAAAATTTTAAACTTGTTTTGCCCCTTAAAGCTTTCTATTGCTCTCCTGTACTCCCTATTCTTGAGTAATGCTCTATACTCTGGGACACAATGACCGCTAATGCAAAAGCGACGATCGAAAGTATTCAGTAAATGTTTTTGCGCTTATGTTCTCACAGGTTTAATATCCCTTGCCCTTCTCATGACTATTTTCCTGTTCTCCAAACACTTGATATTAATTCTCTATCTAAAAGTAGACATATTAATCTTAATTTTCTCTCGTAGCACTTACGTGGTAAAATTGATTCTTTTGAGTTACTTTCCTGAATATGATTTAAAGTCCCTCTACGTTCAACACGTATATATTCATTATTTCCCATTACTCCAATTCTGTTCTTTCTAATTCTGCTATGATGATATGAAAAAGAGGTGGAAAGACTATTTTGAAAAATTATTGAATGAGGAGTACCCAAAAGAGACATTAGAAGATATCTCGTGGAATGAAGGACTGGTAGATTTAATTAGTGAGAAAGAGATATGGGAGGCTGTGGCATCAATGAAAATGAATAAAGCAGTAGGACTAGAAGAAGTGCCAGTAGAAGTATGGAAAATATTAGGCGGTGTTGGCATAAAGTGGTTGAAGGAACTTTTAAATAAAATCTTATTAGAAGGGAAAATACCAAATGAATGGAAGTATAGTATTATGGTGCCGATATTTAAAGGTAGAGGTGACTTACAGTAGTGTGAAAATTATAGAGGCATAAAGCTTATGAGTCATAGTATGAAAATTTGAGAAAAGGTAATAGATAGGAGAATAAGAAATGAGATATCAGTATCTAAAGCCAGTTTGGATTTATACCTGTTAAGTCAACAATGGAGCCAGTATTTTGTGTGAGGCAACTAAAAGAAAAGTTTAGTAAAAGAAGAAAAAGCTGTGTATGGTATTTATAGATTTGGAGAAAGCGCATGGCAGAGTATCGAAAGAGGTTTTAAAGTGAGCATTAATGAGTAAAGGAGTCTTGAAGAGGTACATTAATATAATAGAAGATATGTATGATGGTACATGTACCAGGGTAAAAAGCGTAGGAGGAGTAACAGACGGTTTTCGGTTAAGAGTTACAGCACCAAGGTTCTGTTTAAACCCTTTTTCTCTATAGTGATGGATAAAATTACAAGATAAATACAAGGAAAGGTGCATATTATTTGCTGACGATATAGTGTTAACAGGAGAAAATAGGGAACATTAATCAAAGGATAGAAATGCGAAGATCAACTATTGGAGGAGAGGGATTAAGAATAAGTAGGAGTAAAACAGAGTATATAGTAGTGGCGTCTCGTGGATGATGTTGGTGGGGGTGCGACTTTAAATATAATACCGCTAGTTATAGGGTAACGTCACAAATTCAAAGGTGGACCGTTTATGATTTTTTGTTATGTCTACTTATTTATTTTATCACGCCAAAGAACCTTTTTCTGACACTGCGGTGTCAACCACTCATTATTTTATTGCTGACCGCTAGATAAGGCGATAAAAGAGAAATATAATTAAAATCGATTTGTTTATCAGTATTGATCCCTTCCAAAAAGACTGGCCCTTATCGTTTTGAAATTGCCGTTAGATCGGTGTTGACTTTTCTCTATTATTTCTTCTGTCATTGACCGTGCTAGGGTGCACACATTTGTTGTTTTATTGACACTCTTTTTTCAAAGATGGAGTAGAGCCGCCAACGGCGAACGGCCAGGTCTTTTCGACGAAGCATCCAGACCATCGGATGGGTCTCTTCGGAGACCGGGTATCGTTTTCTTTTTTATATTATATTTATGTAATGAGCTATATTTTGTTAATTATTTTATTGTAAATTAACTTAATTTTGTTTATATGTGGAGAGCACGTGTTTCCCTTTTCTTCTAGCCAACGCTAAGGAGCGAGTGTCCAGACCGCTCCTGGTGTTCTTCATTAATTTCCGATTAACATTAACGGATGTGTTCCAATACCGTCCCTGATGTTTGTAATATTATTTGTTTGTTTTGTTTAAATATTTTATTTTATTTGTATTGCCTTTATTTGTAGACATGGTTTTTGATGCATTCGCATTTTTGTCCATGTTTAACTTAATTTTCTTTTTTTAACAATTAAATTAAATTTCCTTATTAATTTCAATTGTAATATTTATTTTATTGCGCGAGTAACTTGATTACTCGCGTGTATTTCATTCCTATTCCTTAATCTAGACACGGGCTACGGTATGTTTTACATATCAACCACATACAACTTTGATTGTCATAATTGTGTTCTATAAACCACGAGGCATTATAGTAATTTATACATATAACGACATATTAACTTAGATTATACTTTTAATTAACTTAAAATTAAATTCCACCTATGGTCCGGTAATCATATCTGATAGGTGTGACACCTCGCCTAGGTGGTGGCGACCCTTGCTACTCTAGCTAGTCGTTATGCAAGTGGCAAACCACGTTGTTGTTACAGGCCGAAATAATATAAAAGCCCGCTTGCAATATATATGTATGTACGTATAAATGAATACACTTAAAAACGAAAAATATTACCTATATAAATAAATGTATTATTATTATTTTTTTTTTTTCAAAAATAAATTAAATTACAAAATAAAACTTGTGGGTTTTAGTGAATTTTTTAATAAATTTGTGTAAAAAAAATATATATATATATATGAGTTCGGGCGGCGGCGACAGTATATACGTTGGTAGTGAAAGAAATAACAGTAAAAATTAATAACCGATAATTGTATTAAATACAACAGACAAGTTTTATTTCTTGTTTATTATTATTATTTTATTTTATTTTAGATTTGATTTTCTTGATGTTGTTTGATTTTTGAAGTTTTTCTGAATTTTGAGTTCAATGTTTTTCTTGAGATTCTGGAGTTTCTGATGTTATTTGACTATTGTTTGCGTACTTAGTAACTTTTATGATAAAAATTAAAATTATTCTTTTTCGGCACCAGTCTCTTCGGTATCGCACCGCTGCCACCAAAATTAATGTTAAGAGAGTAACAAATAGAATAAAATAAAACAGTATTGCCGAATTAATAATTAATTAGTTTATTTAAAAACGTAATAGTAATCGCACAATAGTTGTCAAATGACTCACGATGCACTGAATTACAACAGTCGCAGTCGGCCCACTTTCCGGTTTTGCAACACCGAAAAATACCTTATAAACACATTCTTATAGGCCGACCTCGATTACAATTCAATTTATGATTATCTGTTATTATAATTGTAGAACAATAATAAAACTAAGTTAAGTATTCATAACATATTTAAGGAAGAACCAAAAAGTTGAGCTTAACATTTAAAATGTTAATTAATTTGTATGGCTACGTCGCGGTACTATTTTAAACGTAAACGTTTAATCTGATAAAAGAAAAAAATTTTAATGAAATTTCACTTTTTGTCATATCGTTAGACAATAAGAAAGGGTTTCTATTAAAGAAAAATAAGGTTAAGGTTTTTAGCACTAAAAGGATAAAAAAAAAATAATTAAACTACATACTATTGTAGTTTTTTTTAAACATATTTAATAGTTTTTTAGAATATGAGTTGTCTTATACAAATTTGATCACATTATATAAGAGATGAACATTGAAAATGATTTATTATTCATAAATTGATAAAAACTTGTAACTAAATAAATCAAAAGTAAAATTATCAAAATAACATTTATTTTTCAATTAATTGATCAAATGATATAAGAATCACTCTGTATTTTAGATAATCTCAAATTAATAAACGAATTATATTAACAAAAACATAATATTTATTGACGTATGTTTTACATTTATTTACGTTTCCATATTTTGAATGATTATTAATTTTCAATTAATTTTGTTACCATCTATTACTTGTTTGATATTTAAATGTCTGAAAATTATATTTAATAATATTAAAAAAATATTATTTATAACCTTATTAACACCTAATAAAGTATTTTACGTTTTTTTTTTGCATATTTGTTGATTTATTACAGTGTTTAACTCTTTTTCTTCTTCAAGTAAAGGTTTTAACTTCTTTTTTAAAAGCTTTGCAACGTCTGGTTCTTTCATATTATAAAATGAATTTCTAGACTGAAATTTTAAAAATATATTCTACTAATTTTTAACAGGATTTTTATTAACATTACAATTTTTTTTTTTTAATCAATAGGGTATTATAATTTTGATTCTCTTTAATTGTTTAAAAGTCCTAAACAAGCTTGTATTTACTATACACAAATTCCTATCTTGTCCCAATTACTTCTCAAAATATAGTAAATACTATGATTCCTACTAATAAAATATTTGTTTTATAATAAAATTTCTTTTTCAATATTCGTACATTTCAAACTTTTCAGAAAATAATTTTTTGTTAATTATGACTAAATGAATACAAAGAATTTTTTCCTAAGTCAATAATATACTTTTCTTTACAAATTTTTTGCATTGATTTCAAATCTGCAATTATATTTTTTTTGTGATGCCTACTGTCTAGGTATTCACGTGCGTGTTGTCGTACAGCAGTCACCGTGCTCGACTGACACTCCGGGTTAGCCTTGGGTGTCAAAAGGCTGTTGTTATAAGAAGGGAATAAGGGAACACCTAGGTATGAGGTGCAGACGAAGTGCAAGACACAATTACTCTGAAATGATGTGGAAGAGAGTAGATTGGTTAAAAAGGAAAAAACTAAAACTTTACTTTAAGCAGTAAGCTGGACAGTGACAAACGAGTACTGAGACTGATGAATGACACAAGGCACTGGAGTCGACTGATTAAGATGGTCAGGTATTTTGGGTTTTTATAATAATTTGAACTATTGCCCAATTTGGCAATGAATATTATTTGTTAATTTATCAGTCTCAGGGAGCGGATGTGCTGTCTGTATTTTATAATAATAATTATCATAATAATGGTAACGTGATACCATCACATCCACCCATGTATTTTTGATGCCACATCCCCGTGGTAAATGAACAGTTAAAATGAAAAAATAATAGAATATTTTATGTTATAAAACAAAATAATTTAATTTAACTAATTTAATTAACATTTTTTTTTCTATTTATTTTTGATCCGCTTACTCTTTTACATTTGGTGTATGATTTGGGTGTGGAACGATCAATATCTTTCTGTTTTTCTTTTGTATTTCTTGATGTTTTGATCAATGATCAGGCTGTATAAATTGTTTTTAATCTTGCTTTGTTTTCAGGGGGGATTTGCTTAGAATAAGGCTTGTTGGTTGGTAAGAAGTTTTGCAAGGCTTGGAGTTCTATTATGTTACTTCTTATTTTTGTTAAATACGACTGTCCAATGACTTCTGACAAATCTTATTTGACGTAAATATAATCATCGGGCTTTTTATTTCTTCTGNCATAGTAAATATAATCATCGGGCTTTTTATTTCTTCTGCTTGAATTAGTTGTGCGAATGCTATCGCTGTTATGTCCATGCACAATAGTCTCAACGCTTTGGTTTTTGTCATCATTGTCTCTGCCGTAGTACGGGTTTAGTCGTCTAATGTGTATGGTGTCCTTCACGACATTTTTATTTAGGATTAGTTCTATTTCATAGTTTACGTCATTTATTTTATTAATTATTTTAAATGGACCACGATATTGGTGGCCTAATTTTGCACATTGATCTTTTATTATAAAGGGAAATTTGACTAAGACTAATTGACCTGGTTTGTATTCTAAGTGTTTGTATAATAAATCATAGTTGATTTTCTGTGTTTTTTGAGTTTTTGCTATGTCTTGTAGTTTCATTCTAACATTATGTAAGTTTTCCAGAGCTTTCTTTAAGTCATATGACAAAGGTTGAGGGATTATTTTGTTGTCTATAGGCTTTGCAGCATGAAATCCATGCATTAGATAGAATGGCGAAATTCCAATTGTAGACTGCGGAGTAGTGTTGTAGCTAAAAGTGACAGCTGGTAAGTAGTGTTACCATCTATTCTGATTGTTGTCTTTCATATAATGTCGTACAGCTGTACATAACTTCTCATTTGTTCGTTCTACAAATCCTTGAGATTGAGGCGAGTAGGCTGAACTGAACTTCTGTTTGATGCCTAAGTTGTCACAAATTTGTGCCAGTTCCTTATTTTTGAAGTGAGTTCCTCGGTCACTTGTTATAGATCGAGAGCAGCCCCGTTTGAAGATTAATTCGAAAAATAATTTTATAACAGACTCGCCGTCTGCAGAGTGAACTGCTTTGGTGAAAATATACTTGATCGTGTTACAAGCTGCTACTATTACATGTTTCTTTCCATTACTATTGCATAGTGGCCCGAGAAAGTCAATAGTTACCCTAGACAACGGAGTTCCATCTATGACTGGGATAGGCCGTAATAATCCTGTAGGTTTCCATGTGGCCCTCTTGTTGATTTGACATGAGTGGCATTATTTGATGTAGGCTGCCGTATTTTCAAAAGAGAAGGCCAATAATATTTTTGATGTAGCTTATGTATAGTCCGTGATTACCTGCGTGTCCTGACGTTAGACTTTCGTGGTATGCTTTTAATATTCTAGTAGTAACTTTCTTGGGAACTTTAATCGTTTTGGGGCGCGGAAAGTCCGTTATGGCTCTTATGTTGCAGTCCAACGATTTTATGCCGTCGCGTGTTATCCGAAAGCCTAATATGTCTATTTTATCAGAGAATAATGTGCATTTAGTTGTTTTTATTTTGAGTCCAATTTTTTCAAGAATTTTAAGTACTTTTTCGAGATTTTCCATGGCTTCTGGAAAACTCTTTCCAAAACATGCTAGGTCATCTATATCAATCACAAGTGATTTATATAAAAGTGTGACGTAAAAAATTGACCTATCATTAATAGTATTATTTAAAACGATAAGTTAATTAATGGCTCTGGCATAATTGACACTTTGTGTCATCTGCTTACTTTTTTCTGGATCTGCAGACATTTTCTTTTTGGCCGTATTTCTCACAAATTTGGCATCTGTTTATGGCGTTTTTATAAAATCATCCTTAACATGTCCGTTTGAGCTATAGGTTCAAATTCCAACCTTATTTAATACTCCAAATCTTCCCACTTGATTTGGCCGAAGGTGTTGTTTTTCAGATTTTTAAAGAAGTGTAAAGCCGTACCTTCCAAAAAGACTGGCAAAAATTTTTTTCATCGGTCCATTTATTTATGATGCTGGCCATCTTGTATCGCTTAAGAAATAGGTCTAAGCTTTAGTGAATTTCTCCCTTCGACTGACCTGGCTTAAAGAATGACTTCCTACGATTTTTGTTGTCATCAATAGCCATGTTTTTGGTGTGAAATACAGTAAAAGACTCGTTAAGATCTACAAAGAAATTTTCCAGCAACCACTGATCTTTTATATACCTAACCAAGCGGTCTCTCTTTTGCTCTAGATTGCCGACAGTGGTTAGTTTTCTTTTGTTTGGTTCAGATATGGCTTCATGAGTATTCAGCATAAGTTCCTTTATGTATCAACTTGTATGGAAACATTGTACTTTTCACTACCAAGCCTCTTTCAGTTGCCAAATCAATAAGTTCATTATCATTACTTATGCATGTAAGCTAAAGCTTCCTATAACTAGTCTGAATGAGACTTCTTTCCCAAATTGAATTCTTCTCCTTGATATTGTGTTTAGCACGGTTATTACATCTTCGTATTAAAGGTCCTTCTCTTCTTGTTGTTTATCTTCTTAATATATCGACAAAGTTAGAACTAATATTCTAGGTTTTACATCCTTGAAGTCCTTTACTGTTGGTATTAAGCTCTAATATACCACGATACCTGTACCATATGGCGTTGATCGTAACTTCCCATAGAAAACTGTCGTGACTTAAATATATATTGATCCTAACTCACTACATCTAATTTCCTGTAAATTTACCATTCTATATATTTCAATTTCAAATACTAGTCCTTGTACAGTATCCTGTCTTAAAAAAGTGCGAAGGTTCCATGTTTCAAATAATAAAGCATTTTTCCAATTCCCAGTCGCTATTTCATAATCTCTACTTATCCGAGCCCAATTAGTAACTACCTGGGCTCGGGGCAACGGGTTCGACAAACCCGTAGTATAAATTACCTAGTATCCCCCAGAGGGTACACTATGTTAATAATTCTAAATATCATAATTACTCTAAAAAATTACTAAAAATACTTAAGAAACATCAAATTTATAAAGTAGTTATTCATAATTTGAAAACTTAATAATATAAGTGAAATAGTTGACTTTTTTGAAAAAGATAATATAAAAAGTGTAATACTTAAATTTTTTTCCTTAATTTTAATTATTCTATTAAATAGAGTTTCTGCTAAAAAAAACTTTTCCTGTTTAAAAAGAATTATAACATACTTAAGAAATAGAATTCCTAAAGAACTTTTAAACATTTTAGCTACTATATCTATAAAAATATTACATCAGCTACTAAAAAACGTTACAGTTTTGCTACTCAAAAAGATAGAGTAATTGAAATAATTTTTATAAGATATTAATAAATAAAATTATAGCTCCTATAAATTTTACTTATTTCATAAATAGTTTCCTATTAAACAATGTGGTGACAATTTGTTATCTTGACTTCATTATCGCAAGAAATCTGCAGTAAAAGGCTTAAGCTTCTTGGATTTATTTACAACACTTCCGAAAATTTTAAACTTGTTTTGCCCCTTAAAGCTTTCTATTGCTCTCCTGTACTCCCTATTCTTGAGTAATGCTCTATACTCTGGGACACAATGACCGCTAATGCAAAAGCGACGATCGAAAGTATTCAGTAAATGTTTTTGCGCTTATGTTCTCACAGGTTTAATATCCCTTGCCCTTCTCATGACTATTTTCCTGTTCTCCAAACACTTGATATTAATTCTCTATCTAAAAGTAGACATATTAATCTTAATTTTCTCTCGTAGCACTTACGTGGTAAAATTGATTCTTTTGAGTTACTTTCCTGAATATGATTTAAAGTCCCTCTACGTTCAACACGTATATATTCATTATTTCCCATTACTCCAATTCTGTTCTTTCTAATTCTGCTATGATGATATGAAAAAGAGGTGGAAAGACTATTTTGAAAAATTATTGAATGAGGAGTACCCAAAAGAGACATTAGAAGATATCTCGTGGAATGAAGGACTGGTAGATTTAATTAGTGAGAAAGAGATATGGGAGGCTGTGGCATCAATGAAAATGAATAAAGCAGTAGGACTAGAAGAAGTGCCAGTAGAAGTATGGAAAATATTAGGCGGTGTTGGCATAAAGTGGTTGAAGGAACTTTTAAATAAAATCTTATTAGAAGGGAAAATACCAAATGAATGGAAGTATAGTATTATGGTGCCGATATTTAAAGGTAGAGGTGACTTACAGTAGTGTGAAAATTATAGAGGCATAAAGCTTATGAGTCATAGTATGAAAATTTGAGAAAAGGTAATAGATAGGAGAATAAGAAATGAGATATCAGTATCTAAAGCCAGTTTGGATTTATACCTGTTAAGTCAACAATGGAGCCAGTATTTTGTGTGAGGCAACTAAAAGAAAAGTTTAGTAAAAGAAGAAAAAGCTGTGTATGGTATTTATAGATTTGGAGAAAGCGCATGGCAGAGTATCGAAAGAGGTTTTAAAGTGAGCATTAATGAGTAAAGGAGTCTTGAAGAGGTACATTAATATAATAGAAGATATGTATGATGGTACATGTACCAGGGTAAAAAGCGTAGGAGGAGTAACAGACGGTTTTCGGTTAAGAGTTACAGCACCAAGGTTCTGTTTAAACCCTTTTTCTCTATAGTGATGGATAAAATTACAAGATAAATACAAGGAAAGGTGCATATTATTTGCTGACGATATAGTGTTAACAGGAGAAAATAGGGAACATTAATCAAAGGATAGAAATGCGAAGATCAACTATTGGAGGAGAGGGATTAAGAATAAGTAGGAGTAAAACAGAGTATATAGTAGTGGCGTCTCGTGGATGATGTTGGTGGGGGTGCGACTTTAAATATAATACCGCTAGTTATAGGGTAACGTCACAAATTCAAAGGTGGACCGTTTATGATTTTTTGTTATGTCTACTTATTTATTTTATCACGCCAAAGAACCTTTTTCTGACACTGCGGTGTCAACCACTCATTATTTTATTGCTGACCGCTAGATAAGGCGATAAAAGAGAAATATAATTAAAATCGATTTGTTTATCAGTATTGATCCCTTCCAAAAAGACTGGCCCTTATCGTTTTGAAATTGCCGTTAGATCGGTGTTGACTTTTCTCTATTATTTCTTCTGTCATTGACCGTGCTAGGGTGCACACATTTGTTGTTTTATTGACACTCTTTTTTCAAAGATGGAGTAGAGCCGCCAACGGCGAACGGCCAGGTCTTTTCGACGAAGCATCCAGACCATCGGATGGGTCTCTTCGGAGACCGGGTATCGTTTTCTTTTTTATATTATATTTATGTAATGAGCTATATTTTGTTAATTATTTTATTGTAAATTAACTTAATTTTGTTTATATGTGGAGAGCACGTGTTTCCCTTTTCTTCTAGCCAACGCTAAGGAGCGAGTGTCCAGACCGCTCCTGGTGTTCTTCATTAATTTCCGATTAACATTAACGGATGTGTTCCAATACCGTCCCTGATGTTTGTAATATTATTTGTTTGTTTTGTTTAAATATTTTATTTTATTTGTATTGCCTTTATTTGTAGACATGGTTTTTGATGCATTCGCATTTTTGTCCATGTTTAACTTAATTTTCTTTTTTTAACAATTAAATTAAATTTCCTTATTAATTTCAATTGTAATATTTATTTTATTGCGCGAGTAACTTGATTACTCGCGTGTATTTCATTCCTATTCCTTAATCTAGACACGGGCTACGGTATGTTTTACATATCAACCACATACAACTTTGATTGTCATAATTGTGTTCTATAAACCACGAGGCATTATAGTAATTTATACATATAACGACATATTAACTTAGATTATACTTTTAATTAACTTAAAATTAAATTCCACCTATGGTCCGGTAATCATATCTGATAGGTGTGACACCTCGCCTAGGTGGTGGCGACCCTTGCTACTCTAGCTAGTCGTTATGCAAGTGGCAAACCACGTTGTTGTTACAGGCCGAAATAATATAAAAGCCCGCTTGCAATAGGTATAAAGAATTGTCAAATTAAATATCATAAAATAAAACACAATACACATATTATTATTCTAAAGGTCGCAGTAGACAATAGGAATGAAATTAATAATAATAGCCATCATACTATTATAGCAAACGATAACGACGAGCGTGCGATTCTAAAAATAAATTACCTGATATAGTAATATACTAATATTTTACTGTATGGACGACGCTGCCGGTCGTCCAAATGCCATACATAAAATTGCAGCTTAACCGTACCTGCACGCTTACAATTAAGTGCCTCATTTATAATATACTATAAAGCTCGTGTGTGCAAGCGTACCCGCATATACTGAGGGAAACAATTTAATGTTCGCACAAGACAAATGTATTATAACTATTTTACTATTTAAAAATTTGCATTTTTAATAAAAACGTAGAATTAAGAATATATAATTAATTTTCTTCTTTTAATTAATTTGAGAGGAGAGGTGTAAAGTTTTAAGTATTTATGATCAGTTATGCAAAATACAATTGTTTTAACAAGGACGTAAGACAGAGGTGTGAGGAGAAAAGAATCTGGTGTATTATGCGATAAGAGAATTACAATGAGACTGAAAGCTAAATTCTATAAGATTAATTAGTAAGTTTTTAAATAAAAATAAAATTATATAGATTAAGATTTATTTAAGTTATGCTTATTTAAGTGTTTTAAACAAATGTGAGTTCCTCAATTGAATTTATTAAATAATAAATGGTTCACCTGCAAAAGTCGTGAATTATTTGATTCTGTAGTTGCCTTTATGGCTATCAATCGAAATCCTTTGTTAACAATAGCAGGATCAATATTCAGTCGTTCTCCCATATAATTTAATGTAAGATTAGGTAATTTATGTTCATGGATGTTATCAATGCTCTAAATAAAGATACAATGTATGTATGACATATAAATATAAATTAATTATTATTATTTACTTGTTTAACGAATAAAGACCTAGTGCTTCTACCGTTTTCATTCATAATAATATCATAAAATTAAATTTTTAATTTTATGAATACACTATCTGTATAGCAATCAACGAATTTAATTTGTATAATGAAATATTTTTAAATAAGAATAATAAGTGACTTTTATGTTACCATAGTAGTTAACACTTTCTAGTCCACAAAGAAATTTATATTTAAAACATAATTTGAGCAAGTAAAAAACATTAAACTCGAATTCTAACGTATAGATGTATTATGAAGAGTTAAAATTTCAATCATTCTGAATACTGAAAAAATAAAAAAGTGACTAACTATATAAAAAACTAAAAAAAAATGTATTATATATACAGTCTGCTTTATAATTAACACCATAATTTTTAAATTATATAAATTTTTTTTTTATAGTTTGTATTAATATATAAAATGTATATTTTTATGTGCTTGCGAATTAAATCTTTAAGAGATGTTCTATGAGGAAACAAATAACTTTTTTAATTAAAACTCTATATTTATATATTTATTAATATAGTCCCAGAAACCATAGTGCAAACAATGTAATAAAAACATGTAAAAATACATTAATCTTAAGATTAAGTTACTAATTACACACTTAAGATATTAAATATGAAATATAACAATAGAACTTACGGAATATCAGTATAAAATTGACTAAGTTTTGTGAATGACTATATGAAACGGTAGATAGTGACGAATATTATTAACTGGAACATTAAAACTTATTTTTTTCGAAATTTCAGCACATTTTATGTATTATTCTACAGTATTAAACATTGAAATAGGTGTTGAGAAAAGGACAAAAGAAAACGCTATCTTTTCATGATTACTAAAATTTGGAGATATGTAACTTTTTCCATGAAAAATGAAAATTACTTATGCTTTTGAATGAGTGATTATTAATAATTACCTTATCAAATTTCTTATCATTTTATTAATACCAAGTTTGTAAATATAATAGATCTTATACTTAGTATAATATAAATCTTGACTCATGATAAATAAATTCTAATTTTTATTAGAATAAATATCTTTAAAGAGATAAAAATACTTAAATAATAATATTAAATAATAATTAGTGTTTTTTTTTTATTTGAATTAAATCCGGTCATTAGAACGTTAACAATTGTCATGGAAAAATCCATACACATATCATATTTAGTGTATGTAGACGCACTATATTACCCGACAAACTAATTAAATATTTAAGTTTAGTTGTTTGAGCGAAGTCAACGCTGAGTGAACAGTTGTATCACTTTTACAAGTAAAACCAATATGTGGCACTGATGCAATTACCAAATTTATTTTGTATGTTCTTAGTGGACTGTATAGAGGGTAAATTTAAATGACAACAGCTAGAGAGATAGTTATCTAAAGATATGATTTTTATTTCTATGCTTACAAGTAAATAATTTTTCTTATTGACAACAACTAGGCAACTAACTTAACACAGCAGCCGGGGATTGACGGCCGGTTATAGAAAGTGTACCGGAAATCATGTGAAAAAAAGAGGCACGGTACGCGATTAGAACCCGCGACCCAAGGCGTCGTATAGACAAACCTTACCACTAGGCCACCGTGCACTTATGATTCAGATCCCGATACACTTTCATTTAGGTTGATAATGTGATGTGCGGCTGAGGGAAACACGGTACCGTGTCAAACTACATTTATGACAACAAAGTTACTTTATGATTACAAGTGAAATGGTTGATTTTGTACACTAGAAAACAACATGCATTTACAAAATGATTACCAAACTATTGTTTCAAACCAATCATACAATCAAAAATCAAGTAGATTAAAAAGACTTATAAAACTAGTAACAACTTACAATCTGATATTGAGTTCTCAAGCAACATGTATAAGTAAATGTGACACTATATTAAATATACCTAACATGCTTAGATGTGAGCATTATAACTAAAATTTTCAATATAATGTTTCAAATTAATGAATTGTCAACTCAAAGAATTAATACTCTTTTGATTTTAAGGTGTAAGCTAATTCTAAACTACTAATACAAAAAAAGAAAACTTATCATATAATTTATCAATGGAGTATGTCATATAAGGAATTAAATGAGATCAATAACTAATATTCTATTTTGCGAGATTCAATGTGAATGTTTAATTTGAGAAACTAGATAGTTTCTGAGAAGACAAAATAAATTTAAGTTGAGAGATTACAAATTTGAGTATAGACAAAATTTGTGAACAAAAATTAAATATGAGCGACTGATCGACAATGGATTTTAATAATTATAGGTAGTTTTACATGACATTATTGTCAATGAGTAAAACAATTTTGAGATTCAACTGGATAAAGTTTTACCGCCCACCTCCAAGAAGTATTAGAACTCTAGTTAATGATTTCAACACTAATTTAAGATTTTGACTTTGACTATTTAATGTACTATTACAATATCTATTCGATATGACAACAACAAATGTGTAATAATTACCTTATATTACCAATAAACCAATATTTAATCAGAAATTTGAAATCAACCACGAGGTTTCTAAACTTGTTTTAAGAATTTAAGTTAGGAAATAATTGTAAGCAAAGTTTTCTATGAATTACAATAATAATGTGAATTACCGTTACAAATTTTGCAAATAAGATGATAGCAATAATGGTTAAATAAGAAAATTTAACAATTGAATGAGTTAAAACCAAACCAACAGCGAAGGTCGCAGGAATTAAATCTTCACAACTGGTCCGACAACAAGGCAATCCAAAAAACGAATGTCGAGAGATTTTTAAGCGCATAACCGCTACCCCGACAGACTGATTTGACCAGTGATAAGAGAAGTAACGGGTGACCATTCAGTATGACCACAATTTAAAGATAACCTTTGCTAAGCGCAAACAGTGTAAAAAGAATGTGTTTACATCTATTCTTTTTTTATAAAACATAACAAGCGTTTGATACCGCATTTTTACAAAATTTAAAATGTTACTGAAAGTTAACTACAAAACATGACACTACTACGGTGTTAATATCGGCCTTCATAGTTGAATGACAGCCTGATGGAGGAGGTATTTGACACGGCCACAGCGTTGTCATATGTGTAACATCCCGCGGTTGTGCCAGCCACCGCTCAGTTGTAAATCGGACCGCTACACACACGCGTTATTGTCGTGGTGTAAAGCCCAACAAATGACAAGCGTCGAATATACGTCGCAATAATACGCTGTCCAATCGTCTCCGTGGCACCTCCACGGTCTTCATTTTTGGTTTTAGTTGCATTCGGCATACTTTTCCACTACGATTGGTATATTGTTATAACTTCTGTGATACTATTCATCATTTGTGCTATTAGCAATACTATTTTGTTTTGTTCTTAATTTCTTTTATATATTTTACCTTCAATGCGAAGCTGAGAAGGTATTGGTTTTACTATGATGTGTTTTTTTTTTTTTGTGTCTGTTACCACTTTTTCTCAGCTCTCACCGAACGGATTTCTTTCAACGATACGTCAAAAGATTACAAATCGTATCTAGTCGAAGACATTACCCATCAAAATTGAAAAAATTTCCCTCGTTCCCCGTAAATGGGGGAAACCTCCAAAAAAATTACAAATTTAAAAATCGCTAATTTTCGAAATTTTTTCAATTTTTTTTACTAAAAACTGCCGTAACTTTTTCAAAAATGAACATATCAATATAACTTTTTTTTTTTATAGATGATTGATGTCTTTACCTATCATTTGATATATTTTTTTTGTAAATTTGACCCTTTATCTGCCCACAGTGGGGGATTTAAAATGACAACTTTTTTACAAAAAATTAACTTTTTCAACTTAACTTTTGAAAATGTTCCGGAAGGTCTGACACTTTTATATATATCTTAAATTAAAGCTAATGTAATGTACTTTAATTTGAAAAAAAAAAATTTGACCTCTGGACTTGTCTTCATGGTGAAAACGGCTACCGAATGCTATTTTTGTGTGAAAATTTTCGATTTTATAATTTACATTTTTTACTTTAAAGTGCTATAACTTTTTAAAAAATGTATGGATCAATACAATTTTTTCATGAAAAGTAGTATTCATATACATCTTTCATTGGACATACTTTTTTATTAAATCAGACCATTTCCCTATATATGGGGGGGCTTAAAATATAAAAAATGCATATATAAAGTAGATCTTTTTCAACTTAACTTTTGAAAGTGTTCCGGAAGGTCTCATATATCATTTAACTATGCCACGTAACCACTGTGCCGCGACCCCCCTGTGCTGGGTTTTTTTTATTCTGTCGTGCTGAATAAACGGTTCACCACAATTATTAATTTAAAAACCTTGCGTCGTCTATGCTATTTTAACTCCGTCATTGACAAACATTATTGAGAAATTTTTTCACCAAATTATTTCTTAAAATTTATTTTTAAAAAAATGCTATTTTTAATTTTTTTTTTAATTTCTCGTATATTTTTAAAATTATAATTTATTTATTTAATTATAAAAATTATATTTATTACATTATTATTAAAGCCCATAAGTATTAAATATTTAAAAAAATATTAACTGGATCAAAAGTTGTTTAAGTTGTTAGTGAGTTCTGGGGTACTCTGTATATTCTGACTCTGAATTTGTAGATAATGAATTTTTTGTCAATTTTTCTCTTCAATTAATATTTATTACATGTTATTTATACATATAAGTGACATAAACGAATTTATTTGGTTATCAACTAGCTTTTTTACAATATTATTTTAGTTATTTTTATATTTAATGTTTGGTTTATTAAGTATACAGATACTTTTTTTTAATATGTTTATAATGTCATGAACCCATAACTATATGTAAATATTAGTTTTGAGGAATTTGTATTATTAGAAAGTAAAAGTAAATAATAGATTATTATTAATTGCATTAGAAAGTATAACACTAGAAGTATTGTTAATTGATTATTATTTCTAATAAAAAGGGACCTGACAACTCACTCGGTGGTCAGTGTACAATCGATGAATGTTACATTATAGTTATTATTTTGACTCTTCTCGATTACACTCATCCGCGTGGGCAAATTGGACGTAGAAAACCCAGTTTACCACATATTATTATTTGGCATCCCTGG